TCCTAAACGCTTTTAGGTTAAAGCCTTCCATATTGTAGTGTTTGCTATCAATGGAATTCCCTCTATCAATTTAAAGATGGATTTACTATGCTCATTATTGTTTGAATGTTTATCATACTACTCATCTTTTCAAGTATTTGGTTGTCGATGTTTTCCATATCTTCGAGACTATGCTGCAAATAAATTTAGTCTCCGCTCTCTTCTATGTGTATTCTTGGGCTATAGAATCCAACATAAGGGCTACAGATATCTACGTCCACCCACAGGCCGAGTCTATATCTCTAAGCATATTGTATTTTATAAAAATATCTATCCTTTTGTTAACCCCAATTTTTTGTTTGATAACGGTCAGGTTCAGGGGGAGCTATCCACTTATGTAGAATGGTCAAATTGTTATGAGTCGGACATACAAACTACTTCCTCTTCTAATTCATCACCTCCACATAAACCACCTATACAGGATGTCATTGATGTATGTGGCTCTTCATGTCCTACTTTGCCCACCACTAATGACAGTCCTCCAACTTCTCTCGTAGAGGAAGATATGACCACTGCAACACCAATCCAAGATGTCCAGGATGATGCAACATGCAATCATGGTGATTAACATGTTGCCTCAAATGAAATCAACTAATCGAATTTTTTACCAACCTCTAAGCATCATCATCATCACATGGTTACAATATCCCAAGATGGTACTCGAAGACCTCAGATTCTCCTCTTTGTGGTAGCAATTTCAAGTGCTCCTACTTTGATAGCTATCATTTCAGAGCCTAAAACTATTAAATCTTCCTTGGGTCATCCAAGTTGGCATCATGCGATGGAAGAATAAATTGAAACCCTACTTGTTAATTCAACTTGGAAGCTAGTTTTATGTCTTCCAGGTATGAATGTTGTCAGTTGACGTTGGGTCTATAAGACTAAATTAAAGTCTAATGGAAGTCTAGAAAGACTTAAGGCCATGCTAGTTGCTAAATGATACAATCAGGGTGCTGGAATTGATTTTTCTGAAACATTCAGTCTTGTTATTAGGCCTACTAGTATTCAGATTGTGCTCACCATAACTACTGTACGTCATTGACTTATCAAACAGCTTGATGTGAAAAATACTTTCCTGTATGGCTTTCTTAAGGAACTTGTATTTATGGAACAACCTCCTAGATTTTGTGAGCTCAAAATATCTAAATCATGTTTACCGATTAAAAATAGCTTTGTATGATCTCAAGCAAACACATGTGGCCTGATTTGATCGATTTAGTGCCTATTTATTGTCATTGGGGTTTTATTACAGCATAGCTGATTCATCTCTATTTGTTTCTCGCACCGCTCAAGGCACTATTATCCTTCTTCTTTATGTTGATGATATTATTGTTACTTGTGATAATTCAAATCTTCTAAAATTGTTCATTTCCCAATTTGGAAAGGGATTTACAATGAAAGATCTTGGACCTCTTCACTACTTTCTTGGCATAGAGGTATCTTATTTTTTTGGTGGGATTTTTCTCTCGGAAAGTAAAAATGCTCAAGATCTTCTTGATCGTGCTCAGATGCTCGACAACACCAATGGCAATAAAGAATAATTTTCCTGAGAATTCTGATTCATTTCCTGATCCTTGTCTTTATTAGAGCATTGTTGGTGCACTCGAATACATTACCATAAAACGGCCAGACATTTTTTATAGTGTTAATACAATGTGTCAATTTATGCATGCCCCTACGATTGCACATTTTCAGTCAGTTAAGGGGCTTCTTTATTATCTCAATGATACACAATCTTGAGGTTTAAGAATATTATCTGTCAGTTCTCTTGAGTTATATACTTTCTCTAATGCAGATTGGGCTGGGTGTCCAACCACTCATCGTTCAACTATTGGTTTCTGCACCTATTTGGGTTCTAACTTCATATCTTAGAGTGCTAAGAAACAATCGATTGTGGTTCGTTCTAGTGGTGAAGCGAAATATCGATCTAAGACATCCACTGTTGCAGAATTGACATGACTTTCTTTTATTCTTCGGGATATTTGGTTGCCTCTTCCTCAACCGCCAACACTTTTTTGTGACAATATTAATGCTCTTTATTTGACAATTAATCATGTTTTTTGTGCACAAACAAAGCACATTGAATTAAACTATCATTTTGTGCGTTAAAATATTGCTCTTGGATTATTTATCAAGTAGCTGATATCTTCACCAAGCCTTTGCCATGAGATGTTTTTTGAGATATTTGCTTCAAACTCGAGCGTCAAATGCCTCTTCTGAGTTTGAGGGAGAGTAATACAAACAATATCCTATTTCAGTTTTTGGAAAGGCCACAACATAAATATTGTCCTTTCCTTTTGAGATAAGAATGTAACAAGATAGGAAAATGTATATTGCATGCAACAAGATAGGAAAATGTGTATTACATAATTGTATTATCATTATATATACAATATAAGAACCACCACAAAATGGTGTGGGGCACCATTAGAGTTCCTCTCTCTCTAAAAATTTCAATATGGTACATTTTGATAATTTAAAATTATGCCGATTGGGATTGGTGATTCGAATCTATATTGACTGTGGTCAAAATTTAATTATTGAAAAATGAGAGAAATATTGCAGGCGAATAGGTGATTCCCAATGCGACTAACTTAGTTCTTTATCAGGTGATTCTATTTAAATCGGCCAATTCTCAACTCTGTAAAAAGAATCAGCTCGGGTACCTACCCAATCTAACGTAGATACATTAAGTTTGAAACCTTGACCTTTGTTTTAAAATTAAGAGATTATATAAATAATTGATATTATACAATAGAAATAAAGTGCACTTTAAAAAGCCATTTGAAAAGCGGAAAAGGTTGTTTCAATGTTGAAATTTTTTTCAATTGATCATCTCTAAGCTTAAAATGTGTGGAAAATCTTTTAATTGATCATCCCTAACTTGAGATATACGGATATGAAAAAAACAATTTTAAGTCTTAAAAATAGTATCTTGTTATGTAGTATTTGAATCACTTATTTCAAGATTTTTAAGTGTTTATAGATATATTTAATTTTTAATATTTTTTGCACTGTTATCATTATTTAAGCCGTATTCTAATTATTTGGGGTTTAGTTATGTAAATCTTGTTCCTCAATTCTTCTCTATCAAGGGTCATACCCTCGGTAAGACTAAAAGTCACCATATATTTTCTTACTACTATCAATGTCTTTGTGGGCGTTCTCCTTGCCCTTTTAAAGTCTTTCACTTTAACCAAATTGTACCTTCTAATTGGTGCTATATTTGGTTTATGTTGTACATGGCCAACCCACCTAAGTCTAGTTTACATTATTTTATCATCTATTGAAGCCACACCCAACTTCTCTTGTATGTATTCATTCAAAATTCTATCATTTCTTGTTTTGCCACTCATCCATTTCAATATCCTCATTTCGGCTACGCTTATTCTACAAATATGTTGTTTTTTGACCGCCAACATTCTGTCCCATAAAGAATGGTGGGTCTTATAGCTATCCTATAGAACTTCCTCTTCAATCTCAATGGTATGCAGCGATCACATAAAACTCTGGATGTATATCTCCACTTCTTGCACCTAGCTCAAATTTTATGTGTGCCATTTTCCTCAACCTATCTGCTCTCCTGGATTATCGACCTTAGATATTGAAAACAATCTCTTTTAGGTACTTCTTACTATCAATCTTAACTACTTATTAGTTTCTACTTCTATTATTAGTAAGCTTGCATTCCATATATTCTGTCTTAGTCTAGCTAATTTTAAAACCTTTGGATTCTAGAGCATACCTGTAATGTTCTAACTTTGTATTGATATTACTTCTAGTGTCATCGATCAAAACTATGTTATCTGCATACAACTTGTACCACACTACCTCATCTTTTAGGTGTTTGGTTAAATCGTCTATAACCAATACAAAGAGATAGGCTCAATGCTAACTCCTAATGCAGGCCCATTGTCAATCAGAACTCACTTGTCTCTCTACTAGTTGCCGACACACTGGTTAACCATCCTTTGTGCATATCTCTCACTTCGTCAATATAGCCTTTAGTAGACTCCTTATTTTCCAAGACCCACCAAGTTAAATCTCGTGTACTTTCTAAATTAATGAAGACCATCGAGGTCTTTTTCCTTCACCTCAATCAATTGCATAAGTACGAAAATGACTTTAATAGTTGACTTCCCTGGTATAAAACTAAAATAATATTTAATGTACTTGTTTCATGCTTTAGTCGTTGTTCAACCTCTCTCACACAGCTTCATAGCTTCATAAATTTAATCCCCCAATAATATATTTTTTTTTAACTTTAAATTTTATAAAAATTTCAAATCAACTTATGGTTCTAGCAATAAAACTGCATCTTCCGATGAAATTTAAAAGTATAGCTCACCTTGATTATTTGATGAAACTTACTTTGATAGTTTAAGTAATGTATGATTAAGATAGAGGCCCTTGGATAAACGTGGAAGCTTGCATGAACCTCGACTAAAGGGATTGTATGCTTTGAGAATATTTACATTTGTAACGCCCAAAGGATTCCTTTATGCACTTTGAGATCAATAACACTTACTACAAAGAGGTCACAAATATCCTTAATCATTCGATTTCTAAGTTTTTTTCAAACTTTGAACCGGCCAATGACACACTCAAACACTCTGATTAAAAATCTAACGGATAAGAGCGATCATGTCTTTTTTATGATAAAATAAATGACGTATTTCTATTTTTTTGGGTAAGTAAATGGCGCATTTCTATATTAAAAATAAACATCTAGAAATGAGTCACATCTTAAAAATCTATTTTTGAGATGGATTTTTTTACTTAATTTTCAAAGATATATAATCTCTAACATGGAGATATTGAATATGAAATATAAATAAATTTTAAGAATTAAAAATAATAATTCTATTATAAAAACATTTGGACCGTTAGTTTTAATTATTTCCAGATGGATGCATGCTTATACTTCGAGGACCGCAATGTAGAAATGCTTTCCCGCCGCATGAAACAATCTTCCTACATGTTCTTTGTTTCGTTACTCTTTCCTTGAACCGCAGCGTCCCCCCCTACGCCTTCCCTTCCTCTCTCTCTCTCTCTCTCTCTCTCTCTCTCCCTCAAAAAAAGAGTAGAAATTAACAATCTCTTGAACAATTAATTCATTTTGATCCATGGCCCTGTCAATGTGTTTTCCTCAGTTTCCACAGGCAAAATCCTTAGAGAAAACACAAGCAAAGAAATCACTGACTGTAAATCCATTGTCCTTTGGCCATTTGCCCTCTTGGGCTTCTCTCAATGTGAAACAGGCTTCCTCTCAAACCCACAAAAACCATGGAGGAGGAGGCAATGTCGAAAATGTCCATCTTATTTCTCTCTCTAAACAGGGCAAATTTCAAGAAGCCCAAGCTTTTCTCCATTCAATGGAGTCTTCAAATATTCCAGTGATGCCACAAACTTATGTAACCTTATTTGAAGCTTGTGGTGACATGGGGTCCTTATCATTTGGAAAGATATTCCATGAAAGAATGAAAAGAGTAGAAAAAGAACCAGAAATATTCCTTGGAAACCATCTTCTATCCATGTATTCAAAGCTTGGAAGCATTGTCGATGCTTTCCAAGTGTTTAATGAAATGCCCAGTAAGAATTCAGTCACATGGAGTATAATGGTGAGTGCTTTTTCTCAGAATGGGTTTGTCTCAGAGGCCTTAAGCTTGCTTTCTGATATGAATGTCATTGGGATTAGTTCGAACCAGTCTGTATATGTGAGTCTCCTTCGTGCTTGTTCTAATTCACCCAGAGGGCCAGAACCTGGAAAGCAGCTACACTCTCAAATTATCAAATTGGGTTTCATTCCTGATCTTCTAATTGAAACCGCATTGTGTAATATGTACATAAAGTGTAGAGAGTTAGATAGTGCTAAGCTTATCTTTGATAATATGCCTGAGAAAAATGCAGTAACTTGGACTGCAGTCATGTCTGGTTATACCCAAGCCGGTAAAGAAGAAGCAGCTCTGGCTCTGTATCAAAAAATATTAATGGTAGGAAATGAACCGGATGGGTTTGTTTTCTCAGTTATCCTCAAGGCTTGTGCAGGCTTAAACAACCTCAAATTTGGAAAATTGGTTCATGCCCATATATTGAAATTGGGCATGGAAAAGGAGGTTTCGGTCGGAACCCCACTAGTTGATATGTATTTTAAGTGTGGAATGGTCGAATATGGACGCCAAGTTTTCAAAAGAATTTCTCAGCCGAATGAAGTCTCTTGGAGTGTTATAATTGCAGGCTATGCACAAGTTGGGGATGTAGAAGAAAGTCTTGGGCTTTTCAATCTTCTAAGGAGAAGTGGTGGGCCTATGAATTCATTTATATATTCCAGTGTTTTTCAGGCTTGTGCAGTGTTAGCTGATCTTAACTTGGGAACCCAATTACATGGTGATGGAATCAAGATGGGGCTGATCTCTGACTTATATGGAGAGAGCTCACTGGTTACCATGTATTCAAGGTGTGGATGCTTTGAAAATTCATGTCGTGTCTTTGAATCAATAGAAGATCCTGATATTGTAGCATGGACTGCCATGATTGCTGGTTGTGCTTACCATGGCCATGCTTCCAAAGCCTTACAACTCTTTGAGAGAATGAAGCTCTTAGGTGTAAGGCCAAATACTATTACATTTGTAGGACTCCTGACTGCTTGTAGCCATGCTGGGTTTGTATCAAAAGCTTGGAACTATTTAGACTCAATGAGGAAAGACTATGGTGTAAAGCCCACAATTGATCACTATGATTGTATGGTGGATGTATATTGCAGAGCTGGTCTTTTAGATGATGCATTTCATTTAATCAAAGAGATGCCATTTGAACCAGAGGCCATGACATGGAGGATTTTGTTGGGTGGCTGTAGTGCCCATGGTAATGTCAGGCTTGGGAAGATAGCAGGTGCAGGCCTCCTTGAACTGGAGCCAGACGATAATGCTGCCTATGTCCTCTTATTTAACTTGCATGCTTCCGCTGGATTATGGGAAGAGGCAGCAAAAATTAGAAAGATGATGAGTGAGAGAGGAGTGAGAAAGGAGCTTGGTTGTAGTTGGGTTGTGATAAAGGATAAAGTACATAGGTTTATAGTGGGTGATAGGCATCATCCTCTAACACAAAAGATTTATTCCAAGCTGGAAGAATTGAAAATTGCACTAGGTAAATCAGGTTATATCTGTCAAAAGACGCATAAGATTCAAGATTTGAAAGAAGAAAGAAATAACCAGCTTTTAGACCATAGTGAGAAGTTGGCAATAGCATATGGACTTGTATCAACACCCAATAATGCCCCAATATATGTGTTCAAGAACATTCGTGTTTGCAGCGATTGTCACATTTTCATAAAGCTAACGTCATGCTTTGTGGGGCGTGAGATTGTTATCAGAGATTCGAGTCGTTTCCATCATTTTAAGGGTGGGCAATGCTCTTGTAAGGACTATTGGTGAGGTAGGGCATATATGCACTGGTTGATAAGAAAGAATTCCACGTAAATAGAAAAAAAGAAGAATAGATACCATGAGAGGGCAATTTTGAAAAGTAAAAAAAAAACTTGGATTTTTCTTGATTCCCAAGTGCTATTGCCTTCATGAAATTGGTCTATGATGTAGCTGGTGTTTGGCTGCAGTTTAGCAGCCATTGAAATATGATTGATCTCTCATACTTGGTGCCTGCCGCCCTTCTGTACAGGTTACTTCATTGATCTATATGTCAAGCACATAAGTTGTATGGTGCCATGTGGTTCCTTCCCTTATTTTGGAATCTTTTTTCGTTCATAATTGTACTATTAATTGATTGTAGAGTAAGTATCTTTTTAATTCATGATATGCATGCTGATGATTTTGCATGCTTGTAATGTTAAGAATTTTAAAATTGATTTACTTGTTTCTTATGCCTTATGTCAGATCATATATCGTGGCTTAGTGCGTGTATGTGAAGAGCTTTCTAGTCTGTCCTCTCATTGAATGAGAGCAAATTTGGCCTTTTGCCTCTTCTTCTCAAAAGTGTGAGGTTCTTCCTACTATGATTTTCGGTGTGTTCTCCTGTGGTATCTTATACTTAAGCTTTTGAATACGGGAATCTCCTATTGACTTTCATTTGTTTGGTTATCATTATTTGGTTATTTGGTGATATTTCATTCTTTCTTTGCAAGTTGATATAGATTACCTGCATGTTATACGTTGTCAGCTATGTGAATCTTCTCTTTAATTCACCATCACTATTTATCTGTGAGTTGATCATACTTTTTCACATGATATTAACCCAAATTTGTTCAATCAATGTTCAAATGTCGTATGATATGAACACTGGTTTTGGCCATTCTAGATATCACATGCATATATCATATACGCTTTCAGTGTTTGTATTTTCTGCGTCCTTTGCAGATAAACTAGGCCCAGTTTGGATGGACCACTTGCTCTTGAGTAAGGGCATTCTTGAACACCTCAAATAAAATTGAAGAAAAAACAGTCTTTTTAGTAACTCAGATAGTGAATTGTGGCATTTTCTGACGATTTCAAACAAAAGGGGCTCAGAAAGTGAGGCTGCTCATGAGTAGGCTGAAGCAGACCAAACATCTCACTGAAGTGTTTAATGACTATTTCATTGGGACAAAAAATACTTCTATGGTTAATTAGTGCCCAGTGGCCCATCTAAACTGGAATTGAGTATCAAACGGCATTCTCCGAGTAAGCTCAATGCTTGGTGAATCGTCTTAGCAGAATATGATGAAGTCCCAAATCAAGCTCAGCCCTAAAAATGTATGCAAAGGGCTTGGATAACTCACGCATACATCAAGTACACGTGGCTTACGCCATTTTTGGGCAGAAGGAAGCTTGTTAAACTTATTTTATTTTAAGAGGCTACGTTAATGTCCCATTCTATGACAGAACCATATAAAAGTACAATGTTAGTGCAAAACAGACAATTTACATATTCATACTTCATAGAGATTAAAAGGAAAAGCCATAATACCCCCCTCCCTAAAATCATAATCGTAAATAACCCCCTTGGTCCATAGAAAAACCCATCCATCCCCTCGAAGATAAAACAGAAAAGATGTTTGACCGTCGCACCTTTTTTATTCTTCAAATTATAATATTTATTTTTTTTATTTTTTCTAACAACTAACAACCCCTTCATTGAAACTTAAGAAAAGCTCCCCCTATCCTGTTCTATCTTCCTCACCCATGAACCTCTTCCTCCCTCTTTCTCTCGTAATCTCCCTTGAACCCTCATACTTCTTTTTCATCTCGTGAACTTTACAAGTAGGTTAAAAGAGGCATCTCAAATTCTATTTATATGATGGGGCTATTATAAAAAAGAAAAAGAATAAATATTGTAATTTGGATAATAAAAAATATAAAGAGGGGGTTTATTATAAAAAAAGAAAAGGAGTAAATGTTGTAATTTGGATAATGAAAAATATAAAGAGGGGGCTTATACATCCTTGGAGGGGGTCTATGGGCTTTCTATGGACCCGGGGGGTTTTTGAAATTAAGATTTTAGAAAAGGGGTATGCACCTTTTCCCTTAAGGAAAATTACAGTATCTTGCCTATTTAAAATAATTGTTTCATGTGGGCTGGACCACATTTGTACAATATGCGATCCAAAGGTATAAAGCATCCATCTTAAAGATGGACACAAATAGGTGGCCCATCTAAAAACAATTGAAACTAACGGTTCCCGCATTTCTACATCTTAATAGAATTATTATTTTTAGTTTTCAAAATTTATTTATTTATTCATATTCATAATCTCCATGTCAAAGATTATATATTCTCTAAAAAATAGGATTGAATTCTATTTCAAAAATAAATTTATTAAGAGTCCCGCATTTCTACATGGGTGGGCTTGGCTGCATGCTAACAACGTCCTTAAAACTTAATTTAGATCAAACCCCTATTTGAAATAGTGGAATCACTGACCACCTTAAAAGTAGTTTTGTCATGGAACCTACCCCATGTGATGAATGAGGATTATTTCAGACAAAAATGCCTCTACTTATATCCTTGCCCACTGACCTGCCTACCCTTTCTCTCTCTCCATTGCATACATCCTCCAGCAACTTTCTATCTCTACTCTGCCTTGTGTTTTTCTCCCAATTGGACTCTCCCTGTGAATTTCTGTTTTTCCCTCCTCGAGGGTGAAAATGCTACATCCTCATTTCTTTCTTAAGCTCACGCCGCCATAAACTCTTCATCTCCATTAATGAAGTGGGTGGCGAGCTACTCAATGCTGCTGCCTTGGGTGGCCAAGACCAAGCCCTTGATTCAAGACCAAGCCAATGTCACCCATGTGGCCACGCCAAGTCCCTGCTCTTGGCAGCTTCCTGTCAACGCCTGGGCAGCAGCCACCAGCAGATGCACCATCCTCGGCTCTTTATAGTCATCCCCCTCATTCATCAAAGCCAATTGTCCGATACTACCCCAAATTAACTCTCAACATCATTCACATTCGCGTCATCCATCACTGATTCCAGCAAACCATGCAGCTTCCATTCGTCCTTTTAACCGACTATCGACAACCTTTCTCTCTTCATAACCGATTATCAGCTCGTGCTCCAATTCACACATTTCCTCTAAAGTTGCACGACTACAACCTGAGCTAGCAGTGATATCAAACTCTGTGAGAAGCTTATCAAGTCTGAAATAAAAACATTGATGCTTACTTTGGAACTTGAACACTGCTTCCATTGCTGCGAGCTTCAGGGTTTACAGGTACCTCGGGTTCCCCCTTTCTCTGAAATTGGTTGTGGACATTCCTAGATTCTAGAGAATGAGGGCTCCCTCTACTACAAGCTGGAGGATGAGCACTTTCTCACTCTTAAGGGGCTGTGAAGGATGAAAGCTCTCCTTTTCTAAGAAGTTGTGGAGTATGCGAATGAGAGTCTCTCTAATGATTTGTTAAGAATGAGGATTTTCAGCTCTCTCTGTGACTTGGCAAGAGTTTGGACTTGGTTGTGTTTGGGTGGGAAGGCCAAGGATAAAGGAGATCAGTGAGAAAGATACAACAAATAATTTTCAGTCTAAAAAATCTTCTTTACTGTCTTGGGAATTCCCTGAGAAATAATATTAGTAAGGTCTATGGTGGTGATGGTGCCGATTCGATTGTCTTAGAGCAAATGCTCATCTTTTACCAGCATCAGAAAATTTTTAAGTTTCAGAAACAGGATTGTATTATTAGCTTGTTTCACTCCATTCACGTGCACTGCCATTCTATCCTCAAATACCATTCCTTCAAAAACAAGCACCACCAGCTCAAGAGTGAAGATTTACATAAGAATCCAGTAATTCGCGCATCTTTTAGTTACTAACATGCCAATCAATACACTAATTTCCTTTGTCCTCAGGCTAAATGGGTCTCAGGATCAACCTCAGCCCCTGTGTGCGGCCCTACTATAGGCCGAAATAGACCTCTAGCCAAAGCAGACCTCACGATGGGTTCAGGCTCACAATTGGGCCTTGTGAGACTTACCCTGGGCCCATATTTGGGAACTGTAAGTGCTTGAATGCAGTGAAACCCCCATCCAAAACTAAATTATGGCCTGAAACATATTTTGCTTCGTCCGAAGCCAAATATAGAGCTGCTCTCGCCACATCCACCACCTCTATATTCGCGCCCTCTAGCTGACCCAAACTATAAATAACCCTTTCAAGGTCCTCTGTGCTCAAGTTAGCATAAAACCCTGAAAATTCCTTGAGCACCATAGCGGTGGGTATAACAAAGGGAGAAATGCAATTTACTCTGATTCCATGGACCCTGAGCTCGCTTGCTAGTGACTTGACAAGCCCAGGGATTGCAAACTTGGAGACTGAATAGGGGTGGGGCCCAAGCCCTCCCATGAGCCCACTTATACTTGCGGTGCACAAAATGCATCCACTTTTTTGTGGGATCATGACTCGAGCTGCATGTTTTGCACCTGCCAGGGCGCCACGGAGATTAACACTGATCACATGGTCGAAGTCGGAGAGATCGAGGTCAGTTATGGTTGTCGGTGCAGGGCCTGCAATCCCTGCATTCAAAGTTACCAAAATTCATTAGAACGAACCATAACAGGCAGGGGTTGTTACTGCTACATAATGCTATTACTGTTATAATGAAAATGATTTTAACTCTTAAATATATGTTATTTCACATATTCCAATTTTTTTTTTTTTGGAATTGTGTTATAACAGAAACGGTTGCAATGGATATAATTCCCGCTTTTCCCCATCCAATTTTTTACATTCATTTTTTACTGTGATATTAACAAAACACGCCCATTATTAATGTCACACGATGTAACGGCAGTAGCTGTTGTAACCGTTTCAACTAGCCATTATACATTTCATGGTTTCTGGAACCTTGCCTGCATTGTTATACATGATGTCAAGGCGTTTGTGGTTGGCCATTGCGAAGTCAACTGCATCGGAGACTTGGGTCTCATGGGCCACGTTGCAGTGGATGAAGGAGGCGGCACAACCCAACTCTTCGGCCACGCGAGGCCCTGCATCTTTGTTGGAATCAGCTATGACCACTTTGGCGCCATTGCATATGAACTCCTCAGCAGTGGCGCGTCCAATGCCGCTGGCGCCACCAGTTATGAGGGCGACTTTGCCCTCTAGCCTGCAGTTTAGTGACAGAGACCTTTTGTGAGAAAGAGAGAATTCAAAAATATTAAAAGAAAATTCAAAAAATTTATAAAAAATAAGAACTTTGTTTGCAATAGATTTTTTAATGTTTTCTATTTTCATTGAAAAAGATTGGGAGGTGTTTTGGTTATAAATATTTATTTTTATATTTACCCTTTTTAGAATAATTTCTAAGATACCCCTAGTACAAATTGATTTTTCAAAATCTATTTTTTTCACTTATTTTTTAATTTCATTTCAAAAGTTTAATTATACTTTAAGGCCAGTTTGAATGTATATAAAATTGTAATATTTTTGGATTGCAACCCAAAAATCTTATAAAATAGTTTTGACCCGTTTGGACAACCACTTAAAATTGTAATATTTTTAGATTGAAATAAAAAATTCTTCGATATAAAAATATTACAATTTTAAGCGGTTGAATTTTTACAATTTTAAGTGGTTGTCCAAACGACTCAAAACTAATTTTAGTATTACAATTTTTTGTATGAAAGTGCGGCCTTCTCTGACCCGTTCAAAACGCGAGCCTTTTGCCCACCCTTGCTCTCTCCTCCCCCTCCTTGTAACCCTAAGCTCTCTAGAAACATAGATCACAGAGCCTTTGCCACCGTGAAATCGCTTGGGTTCCTCCATTGAAATACCCAGGCCTATGGAGCCTCTGAAACCCTCCATAGGCATCAGATCTCATCATCTTGTGAGGTCGATGAGGAATCGACTGCTCCTGCAGCACCTCACCTTCTCTCCGGTCTTCTTCCACAGTGTAGTTAAATCTAGATTTCCTTGAGCCTTTAGCCTCAGGCGTTTGATATTGATATGGGATTGAAGGTATAGTACGGGTTTTGGGAGTAAGATTATGGTAATTGGTGGGATTACCCATCAGAGCCAGGGTTTTGCTCTGGCTCGATTTAGAGGCGGAGTGAGAAACAACTGTTGAGTCTATGACGGCCCATAGCTCTGCATCGTCTAGGCCATTGTCATCTGGAAACAATCATGGTCACCATTGTCACCTCCACAAGTTTAGAGAGCGAGAGAGAGAATGTCTGAATGGGTTAAAGAGAGATGATTTCCATGGGTTAGAGTGAGAGAGATTGAGAATGAGCTTGAGAGGGGGAGAGAGCAAGGCTCAATATGAGCTTGACTGGTTATAATTTTATCATTGATATTTGGTCCAGTGGTCTCAAAGCTCCATGAAATTGCAAATAGGATGGGTATCTTCCAGCTATCGAAATGAGTGTTGCCATGCTTTTCGTAGCTTGAGAAGGGAATTCCTCGAAGAAAGCATTCTCAAATTAGGATTTCAGAAGCTCGACAGCAAAGATGGGAACCAAGATGGGGTAGAGGGTCTCTTTTTTTGACAAATCAATGAAATTAGACATCCAAACGGTTTACCAATAATAAAATAAGACGAGAATGTTTTCAATTGAGGTGAAAAAAACTTGCATATTTTTTTTGCTGTGAATATTTTTTCCTTCCTTCGACATCCAAAGTGGCCCTTAAATATCCTTTTCATATTTAAAAAATAATAATTAATTTTTGAAGTTTTTTTGAAGCCCTCTTTAGCCCGACTGGAAGTGCTTTGGTAAGTGCAGATTACCCAGATTCGGTCCATGGCAGGGTTACGTACCAAGGTTGACATTATTATCTGCGCCGCAAGGACACTGATATTTGATGACATCTATCGATCTTTCTTCAATGCATTATTAAAAAAAAATAGATCAGTAGAGCGGATCATCTGCCCCCAATCCTAGTCCAGATAGTCTGGATCGTTCTCAAATTTGTCTGGATCGGTGATATAAAAGTATTAAATAAATAAATAAAATAAAATAAAGATTAAAATAGAGATTTATGGGATAAGGATTTAGTTGGGGACCACAAAAAAATATTAAATAAACTTAAAAAAGAAAAAAAAAAAATGAAAAGAGAGATTTTGGAGGGGAGGGGGGTACCTAGTTGAGACATATACTATTCTAGAACTGATTTGGTCCCAGACCGATTCCACATCTGAATCGGTAACCTGGATTGAAAAACAGGGGGTGTTTTAAACAGTTTTGAGTCAAAGCTAGGCAAATCAAGTTGGGCTAAATATTAGTTTTTGGGTTCATTTTCTCAAGGGTTGTGCATTGGGTCGGGTAAATAACCTTCCCAGTCCACCCGGTTTGAGTCAAGTTTGGGTCCTCTTCTAGACTTGGGAGGTCAAGTCTGGTTGGGTTTGGGTCTAGATTGAACTGACTAGGCTTAAATAGAAAAGCATCATTATATATAATATAAATATATAATAAATATATAATTTCGTGATATAATATAATATTATTATATCTTTTTAGAGGGAGATATATTAGTACTACAAAATAATACATCCCGACTTGGGTCCGGGACCCTTTGGTCCCCACCCTAGGTTGGACCCAAGGTGGGGCCTTGGACCTAGCCCTTAGTCTCCCATATCTATTTGGGCCGTATCGGGTCAAGGTCGAGGTCAACCTAACTAGGGCTAGCAACAGGTTGGGCTAGACCCGGCCCAAACCTGGCCCAAGCACACCCTAGACTGAGTTGAAAGACAACTACCCAAGCCAGCCCCTAGCCCATTCCGGGCCTCCTAGATATAGGGTCGGGCAGACTTCCATGCATGACCTACACGCAGGCCACAAATAATTAGTTTTTAGAGTTAGGCCAACTGAAGAGGCCGGGCTGCCTAGCCCATTGCAAGTCCTAGACCTAACTTTTTTATGCCATTAATTTTCTAATAAGAAGCTGGGGAGAGAGAGATAGAGGATTTACCTCAAGAAAAGTGGTGTATGACTTGCTTTCCAATTTAGGAAGGTCATGATTGTGGCATTGGAGGAGGACAGGGATTGGTTAATGTGGAAGAGACCCCTCGTAAAAGATGATGTATCACAATTGAGAGCTTGTCAAAAGTGTCTATTTTTCAGAGGAATAGAAAAAATCCATAAATGAATATGATGATGTTATTAGAGCAATACATAAAGGGTGTGGTTTCCATAAGGTTGCGAACTTAAACGATCCAATTAAGATGCACCTCCAAATTTTATTATAACATATAATTTTGATGTAAAATATTATTAGGATTATCTCAAAATCTATTTTCATATCTAATTGTAAAATTTTAAACTCCAAAACTGGTTAAAATCAAGTAGATCTATAAACATATGGAAATCTTGAAAATTGACGGTGTAGATAAAGTCTTGTAAGACTATTTTTAAGACTCAAAATTCTTTTTATTTTTCATAGTCATATAACTCGATGTCGAGATGATCAATTAGAGTGTTTTTCAACATTAAAACAACATTTTCCGATAGATTTTTGACGTTCATCTGGGGTTCTACATTTTAAGGTTGCAACCTTATGTAAACTTTTTCCATACATAAATGAATGTTTTCTGGTTTTAGAGGTGGGATTTATTGGGGGCATTGTGGTCATTTTCTCAAAGTACAAAAGTCCTATAGTACAAATGTTTTAATAGAAAAAAGTATGTATTAAGGGTGTGGTTTCTAAGGTTACAACTTTAAACAATCCAATTAAGGCGCACCTCTCCAAATTTAATCCTAACATGTAATTTTGGCGAAAAAAATTCTCAAGATTGTCTCAAAATCTATTTTTATAATTGATTATAAATTTTTAAACTTTAAAAATGGTCAAAATCAAGTAGACGCATAATAAGCATATGAAAATCTTGAAAATGGACGGTTTAGATAATGAATTGCAAGATGCACTATTTTTGGGACTCAAAGTCTATTCATATTCATACATCTCGATGGTGAGATGATCAATTAGAGGTTTTTCCAACATTAAACAACCTTTTCTTATGGATTTTTAAGGTGTTAGTAATTCCACATTTTAAGGTTGCAACCTATATAAACTTTGTCCATGTATTAAACCTCAACTTTATACTATATTAAGGAAAAGAGCTTGGGCTTAATTGTTAGAGCTTGATAATTTGCAACGCTACGTCCTAGGCTCAATTCCTACCAAGAGTAGGGGGCCTTCTCCGAGTGACCTAAAAAAAAACATTATACTATACTACTTACCCCAAAAAAAAAAAAAGCTTTATATTGTACAAGTATGACACACCTCAAAACTTACTAGTAAAGATTGTTCAGAAGCTTGAAAACCCTCTAATTGAACACTTGAACTCGAGATGCATGAATATAAAGAAAAGAAAAAATTTCAAATCGTAAAAGTAATGCATCTTGTAGCATATTATTTAAACCATCAATTTTCAAGATTTTGTACAAATCTACTTGTTTTGCACTATTTTTTCGGATATTTCAAGTTTCGGCAGGGTTTAAAGGTGTGCTTGTTTAAGATTGAGGTCTTATATCCATTTTAACAATTTGCCCTTCAACTATTCAAGCTAAGAATGATTGAAAGTTTGAGTTGGTAAACCAGAAACCCAGCTAGAATAGTTAAGGAAAATGAACGATTTGCCCTTCAACTATTCAAGCTAGGAATGATTGAAAGTTTGAGTGGTAAACCTAGAATAGTTAAGGAAAATGAACGAAGGAAAATTGTTTCATCGGGGATCACATTTCTAAATTTACGCTCCCCGAGGTATACAACATCCATTTTAAAAATAGATGCAAACATGTGGTCCATCTAAAAATAATTGAAATTAACATTACACATGTTTACTTAATAGAATTATTATTTTGAATTTTCAAGATTTATTTATTTTTTCATATTCATAATCTCCATGTTAGAGATTACATGTCCATAAAAATTAAGTCCAAATATCCATCTCAAAAATAGATGTTTAAGAGGTGACTCATTTTTGCATGAATTCATAGAAACTGTGTCTATGAATGAAAGATCTTAGTTAAACAAAAGTACCACAATAACTCTATATTCATAGAGGGAGCTATCGAGACCAGATTAGAAGGGCCAATCTTGACCGCAGGTGCCCTAGCTAGTATGGTTCAAAGTCAGAGCCGGTTTGATTATGAATATATCAAAACTAAAGTTTAACCAATTTCAGTCTAATGGACCAACAAGTCATGCTAAAGAATACTTAAAAAAAAAAAATTTAATATAATATATTACTAAATTATTATTTATAATTTTCTGTGTTTCTTTGAAAAAATGGGTCCAATTATTTTCACAAATGCTCGGACCAATTTTGACGGCACAAACCCCTCCCAAGTTCGGTGATGGCTCCGGTTTTGATGATACCTAATAGAACCTATGGATTGTTAGGAATTTACCAAAAAACGGTTAATCATAGAACTTATACGCCCGCAAACCCGAATTCCGACCATGAATCCACATGGTCAGGTTGTTATCATGATTGTGTCAAATTATTGATCACATTTATGAAATATCCTTTACTTTTAACAAGAGGAAAATAAAATAAAAGCTGCATAACTTTTATTTTCAGGTTTTCATTTAACAGATCTAAGTATAAAAATTGTAAATTTTATTTTTTTTAACCCCTTGAGCTAATTTAAACATGTTTTTTAAGCCAAACAAATCTAAAAAGATATGCTTTTTCTAAAAGTCATATTTCGAAACTTTAAAAAAGAGAGAAGGGCTCTATAGGGAGGAGAGGTTATCGGGAGGAGAGAGATGTTTGAAAAAATATGGGAAGAGAAAAAGAGAATGGAAGTTCAATATATAAGTGAAGAGAGAGAAATGATTGGATTTAGAAATAGCATACATTTGTTTAGGTTAAAAAATAAATTTAAAGTGACGGGGACTGACAGATATCTTTTAAAAATATTAATTTATCGAGAAATGAAACTTAAAAGTAAAAAATATAGTGATATTTTTTAAAAAAATAATAATAAAGTGTATATCGTGCCGGTGTTCTACTTTCTATCTGCTTCGGCAAATTTCACGAGACTTTTGACCCTATGGTTTTTAAAGACAATTTTTGCCCCCAAAAGTACATCTCACCATTGAGAACCTTTTAAGACATAGCATTTTTTAGTGCTCCCGCGGGAGCAGAAAATCTCTTGTCTCCTTTCTAAAAGAAAAAGAGATTTACGCCCTTAATGAGCTCTCGCTGTCCAAGGCTAAATCATGCATATTGTAGAATACTACAAAATGAAGAGAAATAAGAAAAAACTCACCCCATTTTAGAAGATGACAGTCGTAATAACTAATAGGTTCATTAACTATTCTACAATTACCAAAGTCTTCCTTAAATGAAAGATATCCTAAACACCCACGAGACCACAAGAAGGTGAAATAGGGTACAATGTTCCATGGAAGTCAACGAAAAATGAGGTTGGTAGTCCATAAAAAAAAGACAACCAAAAGGACAATGGTTTGATTGAGCTGCATCACTATCAAAATAAATAAACCATCACCTCTAACCTATCGAAATTACATTTTAAATGTTGTAAAACATTTAAATCAATCATCTCAGCTTGAACATAATGGTTTTGTGAAAAAAATCATGATTTCAAATTTAAAAAAAAATAATGGTTATGAAAAAAATCACTATTTCAGATTTAAAAAAAAAATTAGTGTGTATTGCAGCAAATTTTCGAGACCTTTTATTTGGCCTTAAAAATAAGTGTTCACTTATCCACAAGATCTGTACCATATTTCGTTTCACATTTTATTGTCTGGGTTGGGAAATTGATTTTAGAGGCATGTCGAGATTTTCGATGCCGAAAAGCCTTTGAGGATTTGAGGTGAGGCTTAATTTTGTTTTCATAAAACCTAAGCCCCCATTAAAAACTAACCAAAAACCAGGCGAGGGCAGACCAGTAAAGCTTGGAAAGGTGTAAGCTTTTGGGCACTCTGGGAAAGGGAGAGAGGCAGTCCAGGTTCTAACGCTCACTAAAACTCGAGTTTCGATCCTTTACTCCATTCCACAGCAGGAGAGAGAGAGAGAGAGAGAAATGGCATGTGAGAGTGTGTAGAGAGAGAAAGTAGGTAAGTATTTTGTGGAAGAGTCTTTATATGATGAGTTTTTATGTAACATGGTAGATATTTAGAGAGAGCAAGAGAGTCTCTGCATGACTGTAGATGTTGTATATATATATATATATATATATATATATATATATATAGAGAGAGAGAGAGAGAGAGAGAGACTACTACTTCGTTCGTTAGTTAGTAGGTAGAGTACTAGTAGTGTAGGTAGAAGGAAGAACGACGACGACGACTACTACTACTAACTTACC